CCAAACAGTTCCGAAGAAACCTGTCTACATCAACTTGCCGTTCAAAGGAGATGATGTACAGGAAGTAGTCAAACGAAGACTCGACAAAGCCATCAAGAGAACTTATTATGCTGCAAAACTTGTTTTCCTTAACACCACTAAGCGAGTGCTTCAACAATCTGGGAAAGACCAGTCGCCAATCCTCGACACTTCAAACTGCGTATATCAATTTGAGTGTGTTTGTGGAAGCAAATACATAGGTCGTACGGAAAGGAGATTGTCTACTCGCATGATGGAGCATTTGCCAAAATGGTTGAAAACAGCTGAGTTCAAAGTGCCAAAATCCTCAATAACAAAGCATCTTGTGGATTACGGGCATGATATCGACGCAGTCAAGTCATTCACCATTGTCAGCAGACAAAGAAACAAGAAGATGCTTGCAATTGCAGAGGCTTGTGCAATTCGAGTTTACAAACCAGGTCTCTGTGTGCAAAAGGAGATGGTCGTGACTCTGAATCTACCATGGTAATATGTTTTACTTACAATTCTACCTCTTATTATTATTTTATTATTACTATTATTATTCTCATTATTATTATTATTCTTGATTCATTTAAAACTATCCTTTATCAGTAGCATTATCTTAACCCACTTCAACACTATTATTATTATTATTGTTATATTATATTATTGTTATTATAACTATTACTATTGACATCCCTCTGGTTGCAATTCTTGTTAAATTCTCTAATGTCTAATTGTTTATCTAAGTGATGTAATTGAAGCGTAATGCAATTTATCTTAATTTTGATCTCCCATACTCTCTCTCCCCTTATCTAATTGCACATGACCTGGAAAAAACATTCGCACCTGTCTTTCTGCATGACTAATTCAATGTAGTTTATTTACTTATCAGTCCTATATCTCCCAATGTAATTTCAAAACTATATATATCCGTGTATGTAAAGAATTCAGTCCTATATCTCCCAATGTAACTTCAAAAGTATATATCCGTGTATGTAGAGTATTCAGCTGACGAGTTCTACCGAAATTTGATGAATTCATTAAATCCTGCTTTATTAACCTTTATTGCTTGTTTTAAATTCGTATCGGGAAATAAATGTTTCCAAAATGGGAATACGTTGGACCGACAAGAAGACCTTAGGTGATCTAGACCTTGAAGACGACTTAAGCCTAAAATGTTACAACCAGCCGGAGGATCAACAGACTAGAACCAACAAGTTGGCAAAAGAAGCAGCGAAGACAGGAATCCAGTACACATAGACATGAAGATGCTTAACCAACATAGACAAAAAGCATCAACCATAATAATCAACATGAGAAATTTGAAGGATGTCACTTATCTGGCTGGGTTGCATCATTTCAAATAGAAGCGCTACAAATGAAGATGTCGAATGTAGAAGCGGAAAAGCAAGACAGACCTTCATTAACCTGAGATGATCAATGACAAAATCTGCTGCGCATCAGCATAAGGAACAAGATTCAGACTTTCAAAAGTAATGCCATCTGGGTCAGTGCTTCTGGATGGTTCAGAAACTTGGCGTGTACGTCACTAAATGCATTCCCAACTACCTACATGCTTTTATCAACAGTTGCTTTCAGTCTATACTGAAAATCAGGTGGCCAACCCGAAAGCTTTAGCAACAATGAAGTCTGGAGCGAAATAACCAAGAACCCGTAGCCCGACAAATATGCAGAGGGCAAGGGACGTGGATGGAACACACGATGAGGAGACAACTGAGTAACACTACGCACCAGGCTGTTGAAGTCGAATATGAATGGAAAATGACGAGTTGGGCGAGCGATGGTGATCAAGAGACCGTGTGAGGAGGCGAAAGCTAACACGTGAGAATCATGGAGCCAGCTACGAAAGGCTGCTAAAATCACTCGGGATGAATAATGCTAATGACATACAACAGCAAACCATCCTTTAGGAGAGAAAATGCCTACGCATATGTTTAACACATAGAGTCACGTTTTGCAGACACGATCAAATTTACGATATCCATCTGAGTCTCGTCCTTTCCTGCAACCTTATCATCCTACCACGAAGGTGTTATAATGATTCATACTGGTGAAAATCATGTTATCCAGATAAAAATGAGTCAACTATTAATAATAAATCGATGCCCAGCTGGATTATAGACTATGTTTAAACGATCTGTGTAATTCTACATTTCAAAAAGAATTCTAACACGGGTAAAGTTATGCTCTGTTTATTCATCAGCCAACCAATACTTAGTGCACGGATATACTTATGTATTTACCAGCTGCTCAACCACTTCCTTCCGTGGAGCTAGTTAGTTACATTGGGCAAGTCCATCGTGGAATTTCTGCACACACCATCCATCTAACTTGGGCTAAGCACTAAATAAAGCTAAAAGCAATTCACAACTAACTCATCTCGTCGATACACGGCAATAAGTTGACACTAACATAGCCTCTTAAGCTACCTATTGTATTTCACACAAACTTTCGTGTGCCCTACGGGTACATTTTTTACATACAGCAAATAGAATTCATCTGAACAAGCTAGATATCTGTGTGTCTAAAACAAATTTAACTTGGTTATTTTAGTATAACTACAGCTTTAGCTAAATTAACTTAGGCATGTGTACAACATATTCTAGCCATCAAGATCGATTGACTTCCCCTCATTATCACTCATCGTACGCCTAACCTCTATATTACTCAACCTACTATGTCACCGAATATGGAAGATAGAACGCAGCTATATATGTCCAAAGACAGTTAGCCGTTTAGTGTCTCCCCCCTTTCAATGGTCATGTCTTACAGCCATAAAGAAGGATGGAGCGAGCCAATGATGAGAAGTTCAAACGTGCTTTCATCGATAACCGGATATTACGCATGCGCTAAAGATGACGTAGGTTGTGAATCCAACACAGGACTTTTGCATCCGTGCTGAGATTTCGTCAGAGATCAGCCCGTTTGGTCTGACACAACTTCTCAAATAAGTGAAGTGGTCAACACGCTTTGCCACCACTTCACTCCCTATCTCCGAGCCACTAGTAGACGTAGTTCAGTTCAATTAACAGAAGCAAACCGCATACCAAACAGTCCACGATTTCTGCCCAAGGTATTCAGAAGATTCCATTTTATCAGCATCTCTACCTAGGAGGACCACATCATCCGCATACTCTAAGTCAACAAGATTATTCCCTGGTAAAAAGTCAATCCCATTAGTACATCGATGATGAAATTAAACAGAGAAGGGGAGAGTGAGCATCCCTTCAGATGCGTAAACCCTTAACACGGCTGCGTGAGTCCGAGTGGAGTGGCTTTGAATAGTGCTATGTACTTTTTCGGCCTAAAATTACAGAAGTAACTCTAGGTCGACAGTAAGTCAAGAACTATGGGGCAATTGTTGAACGCCGGTAATGATAATGAATTTATTGAAGGATAAAGATATGATCAATATATTTTCGCCCTAGTCTACAGCTTGCCTGGTTTTCTCGCGTTAAATCACACTATTACGCCAAATAGATCATATTAATAAATACTTCCTGATTTTCTTATTCTATAGTCTCTATTTCTAGTACACTTAAAACCTTTACCAAAAAATTAACAGAAAATGTTATATGCGAAAGTAAATAACAAAACCTGCGTGTGTGTGTGTATTTATATTATTGATCGATTGTTTCTCTTTTCTTTCGATAAAATCTCACTAGTAGTAGAGATAGAGACAGAGTTCACCGTTAGCACTAACCAACTCCTGACCAAAAAGCACCTTGTTTTTATTCTGTTTACAAATTATTGATTACGCGTTACTCATATATATTTCACCAGCTTGTTTTTTGTTGGATGATATGACAAACAGTCATATATTGGAATGTCAGTGTAGTTATAGTTTAACTACCATCCAGTGTAACTACACTTAAAATAGCTTATCTAAGTACTTTTTGTATTTAGCTAAAACAAATTGTGCGCTCTCGTATGACTCTGCATGTATGTGTGTATTTGAGCACACAACGGCAATTTTTTTGGTGATGAATAAAATGCGTTAAGTGTGATATTATTAGCTTACTGTGAAACAATAAACAAAACGGCTCTTTCCATTCTCCTTATAATCGGTATTCCTGTTAATTTACAACTTATTTTGAAGTTTATATCTACCTTATTACTATTATTTGTTATTGTAAGGAACATAAAGTCTTACACAGTTATCATCATCTTGTTACGCTATGTGAAGAGAACACTAGAGATGCAATACTATGCCACCAGTATGTTGGGGATTCCATGCTTTACAAAGAAATATTTCTACGAAATTCACCCCGAAATACTGAAAACAGACTCAGAGACTGTGGCAGGTGTTCTCACGCGTCATTAGTGCAAAAGGTTTGGAAGGAACTACACAAGTGTAGTTAAAGACAGTAGACCTTTCCAAGTCTTCTACTTTCATCGGTCAAGTTCCTCAGTCGAAAAAGAAGGGGTTAAACTGCTAGGTAGTACGCACCCACTCACTCACCTCATGATTTATAGCCGGAAAGCACGTCTACTCAAAAGATTGGTAGTGATACACACATATTGAGATTTCGTCATCAATCAGTCCATTAGGCGTGATGTGACTTCCCATTTTAAGTGAAGTGGTCAACATGCTCTACCACCTCATTTCCTATCTTTGAACTAGGAATCGGTTCAAACCAATCCTGTAGCTTCACTCTACCAGTGACAGGGGAAAATCGCATGTCAAACATACCGAGATTTCTGCTTGCGGAGTGTGTTCCGAGTAGTCAGAAATTTGTTAGCATCACCACACGATGACAATGCGCTCTGGTAACAGGTCAAAACGTTAGATATACTTGCCGGGAATACGAAGAAAAGATTATTGAAAATCACTATAGATGTCGCAAGCTAGTCTATCATACAAATCCGGCCCTAACACCTTTAGCTACGCGAGACTTTAACGAAACTACTCATTGAAATCCTATTATGCACAAGTGACATCAATCTTGGAACATTATCCTATGTTAAATAAAACAACCAGTAAGGAAAGTAACAGTTGTGGGTATTTCTCCCCCTTAGTAGATATTTCTAGTACTGGTGCTTTCAGAGCTCGGAGTATTAATCATTAAAAAACACGAAATTTAAAAAAAAGTGGAAACTTCAGATAACAAACACTACACACGGTCTTCCTGAATTAAACACATATCAGTGACTACCAAAAAATCTCTTTTAAAAAACCCTCTACAGAATGATAAAATACTGACCGACAATATATGAAAAAATATATATTTAAAAAATCAAATTTGTTAAACAATCACTCTAAATTAGTCGGTTAAGTTAGACTGAAAACAAACAAACTGTAGAGAATATTGTATAATAAAATTATATCACCCTTTAATTCTTAATTAAATTTTGAAATATATCAGCCTGTGGACAGCTCCAACAAAATCTATAATTTGAGCAATCACAATTTAGTCACTTTATGAAATTTGCCGTTTCTTTTTGAAGAGTATGCATTGAATGTCTCCAGTTGGTTGAAAGTTTCAAAAATCTGCAGAGGACTTATATGAAAGGATGGCAGTTCCGCATATATAATTATACATAAAAATAAAAGAAATTGATTTGCTTTGTCATACATCGTGGCATAAGACGGGGTGGGGGGAAGTGGGCACTCCATGAGTACACACATCCGGAATTTCTCCGACCGGTTTATTTTCTTCTCTTGTATTCAAATTTTCAGACATGTAATTTAACCGAAGTAAAACGTCAGGTGTAGACAAGTCTTCTGAACAATAAGTTCATCTCATATTGAAGCAGGCGCTGAAGTTGTGTCTAGAAGGACGACGCAGGCTTTGCAAATACATAATCAAGCTCAGAAACAGGTACACTCACTACATGCTAGTCACAGAATAATGTCTGAAAAATCAATTGAAACTATCTATTTGGAAACATAAACCTTGATGATTGCATTTTGAAAGATATCAATATCATTCATTTCTTGAATTGTAGAACACATTGAGAAAAATTTCAAATACAGCACCTCTTTCGCAGCAGTTTCGATTTCACATTATTCTGGTTTGAGCACTGAAATGGATCGATGTGACATCCCATCTACTACTCAACCCAAAATACTCATTCTCTCAAGTATCCAAAAATATATTTTTGGACGGAGTGACAATTTTATTGCAAACTTGGTGATAAATCTTCACAGAAAACTGGAAAGCATCTATTTGCAAACTGTGTAGAGAACAATTTGACATTTGCTCCACGCTAAATAACGAAACAGCCTCCTTTTGATGCGACACAACATTTTTTCGGTCTCTTAACGGCGGCTTTTTGCAAATTCAACTAATTGATATCAAACAGAAAAAAGTTCAATGCGTTGATCCAATTCTCTTTCACTGGAGTGAACTCGAATTCGATAGATGCACCTTATACTTCCTATTTCTTGAAGGGAGATTAATTTTTGAGCTAGCTTTCTTCCGATTTTGGAATAGATATTATTGTACAAGGAAAATAACACATTTTAACTTGACTTCAAGAATCCAAGCTACTTGCTGCGCACTTTTATTTAAGTCTTCCCGAATTCTATCACAGAATGACATGTACTTTAGGGGGAATCAGTATACGTCATAATATAACTACTTATCGCAAAATGTTTTTTCATAGCATAACGCAAAAATGTCCAGTCGAACCAATGGGAAACAGATTTAAAGGATACTGAATTTAGTCAGGAGATCAATAGAATAATACATTTAGTTACTTAAACTGATTTGTCATCAGCTGACAATCCCTTTTGGATTATGAATTTTAAATGGGAGAGAACGATTTCAAAAATGAAACTATCTACTAGACGTACACAAGACAAAAATACAAAATTTGGAGAGAGAAACAAAATAGCCGAGACACCACAGGAATCAGCAAAAGAAGATATATAAGTTATCCACTCTAATAAAATACAGTATCACGTATGAAGTGTTCTTTTCAACTCCCGCCCCCACCACCCACGCACACCTTACAATTAGCATTAAACTGTATAATCTCTGGAGTAGAAATTTTTTCTGCACCAAAAGAGAGAACGACTGGAATGCGAAGTCTAAATTCTTCAGTTACACCTTGTTCTGGAAGAAATCTCTTGAGAGTTGAACTGTTTTCAGATATTTTTGCGTACAGCGCTCTTTATATTTTGATTTGTTGAAGAATTGGTACCTCTTGAATTATGCCCACTTTCACTTAGGCGCATTGGGGGTTAACAAAGATTGCTTTTATATGAACAAGCATTTAATAAAAATTCGTTGCCTTGACCGCACTGACATATGTCATTGAGGAAAAAAACTAACTTCACAGAAAAACAATCAGTGCTTGGATTAAGAAGATCAATTGTGACACGGTGTTGTATCCTTTTTGCTGAGTCAATCCTAAACCGGGGTAGGACACGTAACAACTTCACTTAGGGTAGAATATTCAGCTGTAATATCGAGATCGATGCCAAAAATGGAAACTCATGATGCATTTGCTCATAAGGACGTGGACAGTTGGAAACTGTTGAATAAAGACTGGCAAATTATCTCTCTATCTCTTCCTAGTTTGAAACTTTCCGACGATGCACAACACCTACAGATCCTTAAGACTGAAGTTACTGGTCAATTGAAATTACAAAGAATAGATAATATGACACGTTTTGCCGTTGAATATAACTTGAAAAATCTAATAAACCCGAAATATGATAGAGACATATAGACAATCTGTTAAAAATGAGACTCAATAATCCACGAAGCATCAATTTCTAAGCTTTTCCTGGTGAGATCCTTGGTGTTTGGACACAGGGTAGGATGATTTGTCTTCGTTATAGTTGTAGTGTAGTTACTTCGTTAGAAACAACAATCTCCCACAGTTACTTACTTAATAATCGACACTAAGTTATATAAGCCAAAACATCATGAAATTGCTATATAGACCCTACAAGTCAGTCTTCTACAGAGCGAAGTACAAGTATCATGATGGATAACTGGAATCAATAAATTATGGGTCATAGTAGTATGAACACGTGAATTCTACTCACTTCATGTAACTCTAACACCTGAAAGCAAAAATAACAGTCAAAATATTTATCAGATTGAAAAGCATATCGAAGTCACACAGGAACTGAAGTACAACGTCCAAGTAGATTGATATACACGAACACATTGTAGCATATTATAGAAGGAAGCAGCGTCCGTGAACCTTTACTCCAAGCAGGAACATGCACAACTGGTAACGTTGATGAATGTTGTGTGTTGAGTATATCTCTTCCCGGAGTTTATTGACACATTTCTACGATGAGTACCAAGAATACAACAACCTGAGGTGGTCTTGTTACTCCTCCCTTCCCCTTCCCCCATCACTTATGAGTAAACTTCAATTGTTATTTCAATGATTATATTTTATCCGCAAATTTAGTATATTCTACTTCTTGAATAACTTCAAAGTTGATTTTAGCCAAGAAGTCAGTCAGTAGCGTATTTTCCAATTACTCACTCACTGGTTGTTAGTCGCATAATATACAAACTCTAACAAAATGACCAAGATATTTTCACATTTTTTAGCGATAAATTAGTCTATTTTTTTGACTCCAGTTTCCCATTAACACAATATTGTGTTTTATATTAAGGATCCTTTCGTATATATATAGTAGGGCAGCTTTGCATCCAAGATTATTACAGTTTTGTTTAGCAGTACCAAATATCCCTTAAAATGTATACAACACAATTTCATCACAGCATTTCTTGCTTTCTTCTGATATATATATTGAAGATTTTACACTAACTCTATACATGCCCCAACCAACTGAAGAAAATCAACACACACACACACACAAACAATTTAAAGCAGTAGTGTGATATTCAGCCAATTTTAGATAATTACAATGAATCCTTTCTCTCTTTTATGAAACAATGGAATTATTATTATTATCAGGGATTTTTAAATGCAATAAATATTTTATTGTTAATTTGATGAGAAGCTGTTATTTATTGACGGAAATTCATTTCTTCCTCCTTGACGTCGCATATTATACGAATTACGCATGACAACAGGACGAGATGGACGTGAATGACTTTGATGCACACTATCACCGTTCCTTGGATTACGACTTCGACTGCTGGAATTGTACGCTAACGAGTCACGCGATCGACTTGTCTCTTCTGCTGCTGTCGGTGACTGATCATAACGACTGGGTTTTTCCATTGGTGGAGGTCGAGGTATTCGTTGAGAAGAACGTGGTCTAGGGACTCGAGTTTCATACATAGGAGATCTTCGACGCTCATCAAACATTGGTCGGCGTCCAGGTCCACCATAACTGAGTCTGAAAGATTAAATTCGATAATAGTGGCGTCGATATTGCCTCAATGAAAGAATTCTAGCATTTAATAATGAATCAGTTAAGTGAGCAAAAGACGCAAAAAAATGATGAATACACACCTATCAGTTCATTTAAGGAATCCGTTATATGGAATAAAAAACATTGTTATACTTTCAAAGAGAAACACTATGACCAAATGCCAACCGGTCAAGTCCTATCGGTTTTTAACAAAAGCTACAAAACACAACTGTTCCCTGCACTTTACTTAATCAATAACGTGCATTTTGGGTTGCTATGTTCATAACCAGTCCTATTTAGCAAGGTGGGGTATTCCGTTTTAATGAAGACATAAACAACTCATTCCATGTGACAGATGGAGGTCCGAAAGTGCAATTTCTCAAGTATTCTCAACTTAAGGAGAAAATAAGTCTACTTCAGTAGTCATTTGTAGTAACAATGCACACCAAATATATTACCAGCATTTAGTATGGGATTATAGTAAGGCATCAGTTTCCACATCAGCTGACTAGCGACTTATGTATGTACGTCTTAATAAGAAACACTTAGAAAGGGTAACTTACAATACTGAATGTTCAGCAGAACAGTCTAGTTTTTGTCAAAGTGACTAAATTTTGAAAGAAATCTATAATTAATTCCCACGCTCTCTACTTATTTGTATAAAGAACTATCGGTGACAGAGCGGTTGAATGCTCGCCAACTACGCAGGTAGTTCGAGGTTCCATCCCTGGCCGACGTACTGCTCCTTCACCTTGCTAAGCCAGTAATAAGACTGGTAAAGAGTGAAGGTTGGGCACGAGGCTAGTAACCCCGATCCCGTAAGAATAAATACCACCGCTACCGGAACTTTAAAGCTCTAGTTTGAAGCCTTATGTTCCACTGGGAACATATAGGACTTTAAAAAAGTAACCGAAGCAAAGCCTTTGACCTCAACAATAAAAATAAACAGTATCAACCTACAGATAGTAAGGCAAGCTAACAATGATTGTGAATTCATTAGGAATAGGGAAAAACATAACAGGATAATCATATTGAATAGAGGATACAGAAATCTGCTCTTACGCTACTTTAAACCATTATAAAATTATCTACCACGACTGTATAGTTCCTGCATCAAAAGCAGTATAGTCATCACTTGGATATGCAGCAGTGTTCACAGTTTTATATGCATCTACTGAGTAGTACATCAATTGTATGAAGTGCCCCGTTGAACTATTGTTTACACATACTTTATCGTAGAGGTAGAAAGAATTTGGATGGATTTTAAGAGTAATGTGCTCTTGTCACAGGACGACTGAAGAAAAGCTTTCAGTGCTTTGTATTTTTCCTATTGTTAGGTAATATGCTGCTTTCAATCAAAATAGAAGTGTACATTATCTACGGAATTGAACGGTTTGGCTGAGGTCTTCAAGATGGTAAGAAGTAATCCTTGAAGACGATAGACGATGATATGATTCCAAGGCGTTGGTGAATTCACTCTTTTCTGATCCCCTAGATCCATTATATATATTCTCATTATTCTCCATGTAGGTATTCTTGCTTCTTCTCTACTTGTATATTTTGTGAAGGGTGACAACTTGAACTGCGACACTTTATTGCAAAGTTCTTCGTGGGAAATTAAGTTCTCGAGTCGTTGAGAATGTAAGAACCAATGACGGCTGGAGACAATTGGTGATATGGCTCAAAATCGTTCTCAATGGTACAATGCAGATGCATACACTCCTTGTGACATATCATACCCAATAAAACTATATTGTTCTTCGATATTACTATTCTTTTGGCCTTGTACCTCTGTTAACTGACTCTATTTTGTATCTTTTTTTAGTTTTTTCTCTTGCTTTGTGTGCTACATGGAGTGTGGCGACTTGAACTGCAGCACATCGGTGCGAAGTTCTCTGTCGAAAACAGACGGGCAGACAGATGAACGATGCAAACTTCATTTGCACTTACATATACATAATGTATTTGATTATTTGGGAGCTACTATCCTTTGTAATAGCAAACGATTAAAGAACAGTGGAGTGGAATTGTACCGGAAATCAATTATTCACTAAAAATGAGAGAATCGCACTTTTCAGCTATTGTTCTTGACATAACCACCGATAACTAAACAAATGCTATAGAAACTAGTGAAATGTTCTTTGATATATTCTCTCTTGTTTTCTTTTAAGTCCCACTGATGTTCACTGGTGCAGCTCTCTAGCAGTGTAATGTAGTCCAGGGCGTAAATGTAGCTGAGCATGCAGGTAGTAATTAATGATTCGATTATGTAGACAGTCATTTTGAAAATTGGACAAAGACAAACATCATAAGGTCTCAATAACGGCGTATTGCACTGTATCAAGTAGCTTACTGCACATTGATAGTTGCAAAATTCAGAATATGAGATTCTCGAAGTTCATTCTGGACATATGAGACAAAATTCACATGTTATCTATCGAATAAATACAATGTCCGGTGAAACCTGAAGAATATACTTCAATGTTAACATTGTAAACTGGGTGATAACGACCACTCCTTATTACCAAATAGTTGAAACTACTTTTACTTCATTGATAAAGTCAGATAAAATGTTTTAGACGACTGAGAGAGATCCATTGAATGATGTGAACTCACGCCGAATGCATTACGAGTACAGGACTGATAGTCACCTTTGTTTGTGAAGTTGAGTGAGATACGATTGCAGTAAAAAATAAAGGCCAAGAAGTAGTCATGCCGTAACACTTCAAGTGAGGGAGCTGAGTTGAATGGTGATCTGAGTGATACACAATAGTGTGATCGTCTTGTTTTATTTCCACGGATGATCAGGTCAGTACATATTGTCTTATTCTGTTGGTTGACGCTCTAATTGTTAACTTCAAAATTCTTTTATCCCAGTGTTGATATTCATTTCCGTTGTTAGTGCTTTAGAAGTAGAATAGGTGAACTGCTGTGAAAATTCTCACAAATTTCGACTTGTACACTAGGCTAAATTATTCATGAGGGGACCAATTTTTAATTACATACGTACGTTTACCAGCTTGAAGATGATTGGGAAGGTAATCCTTTTATAAACAAATTTATTGAGCTTTTTAGATCTTGAATATTAGCTATATTCATTTCATTTCAACTTGCAAGAAACCCGTGTAGGAAACAAGTCGTCATGCATCACTCATATTAGTGACAGATTTCCCAAGGTAAGGAAACAGACGAATAATACTAAAGAGTAGGCGGAAAAGCAGTACGTTGAAACACAACTAGATGGAATGTAGTCTACCAATAAGCATGGTGCTCCTTCGGTGAAGAAGAACAACTGAATCCAAGCTTTCTTATCATCCATGCGCTTGTGTTTAAATTATATCACCGCATAACGTAATTGAAAGTGAGACTACTCATAACAGTCAGCACTTGTTATCCACAAAGATGACAACAAAGATGTGAATTCACAATTTGAATGAAACGAACTACAAAACTGGGAAGTTACCGTTTCTCTTTGCCCATATATATTCCAGGAGTGGGATTGTGTGGTCCTTTGGTAAAACTGTAGTCAATTCGAACAATGCGACCATGTAGCTCCAAGCCTCTAGCACACGCAGCACGTGCAGCCCGGGCGCTTTCCATCGATCGAAAATATATAAATGCAAAGCCACGTGAACGACCTATTGACAAATAAAAGAAGGTGTATATATCATAAAAATGTGACGCTATGAAATAGGTGAGAGGTTTAGAGTTATTTGAATTATTTGTGATATATATAACATGCAAATCTCACTATTTGTAAGGTTTACCTAATATACACCCAATCATTTCCGACATCATGATGTCAGTCTTTAGATCACCAAAACATTTTATTTTCGGTTGTGAATGGGAAACAGTACCCCAGCGGAACGTATCCACTCCACTCGGTTTTATGCCATCACAACTACTGCGCACAAGCTTTCATTAACTCCTCACCACATGATTTTCTCCAATATCACTCTCCAGACGCCAAACTCATCTTTTAGCTTTCGGGTTTCAGGCCAGGCGTTTGAAGTTACCCAACGTTTTCCTCGGAGCATATCTAATATAATCCTGTTTCTTTCTGCATGTTTTTTAAACAACAAGTTCCTGATGAGCTCACTGCTACAGCTTTCAGTTGCTTATTGTTCTTGGCTAACCGTTTGATCTCCGGCGTTAAGCGAAGACAGCCACTGATAAAAGCCTGCAGTCTGTTGTTACAGTTTTCGCGGTGAGACTTGCGCCAAGTTTTTAGACCGATGAGAAGCACTAATTCCATATTAATTTTAAAAATTCAGATTTTGTTCCTTTTGATAAGTGCTGTGAATAATCGCACTAGACAGCCTTGTCTTACTTCTGTCATTAACTCAAAGGCCCCGATGAACTTTCTGTTGTGAGTTACTTGACATGAAGTATTATATCAAATAGCTGTTGAATGAACAAAAACACGGACCTACTCAATAGTTAATGTAATTACTAGAAATTAACAAGTTTCTGTAAAAGCTTCTTCTGAAAAATACATTAGAGCTGATTAATAGCTTTTGATGTAGACTCATTATTCACTAATGTTCCCTAAGTCGAAACAGCTGATAATTTTTGGTGATAACATTTATAAACTTAATTTCTCAATGACCGAAGGTTTACTTTAAGGCCTAGCTGAAAACGGCCAATTTGTCTAAAATATGTTAGTAATAGCTTAAGTGAGGACCCTAGATATGCCGCTTCAATTTCAGATAGAATAAACGAAGTGCAAAGTGGCACATCATATGCATGGACAAGAGAGATTATTCTCTATCTCTCCTAGATATGTTGATTGTTTGACGACCATATGGATAAATAGCACGACCTATTTATAGAAGGCATACATGGATAGGATAGCATCATAATTACAACAATTCGTGTTCAGTCTATTTAATAGGACTCAAAGAATATGCGCAGCTGACATAATGAAAGACGAGGAAAGAATGTTGACAGAAACTTTAATTCTCATTGTTCAGAGTTCATAAGCAAACATCCAATGGTCAGATCATTGAGACTTATTCTCAGTCTCTCCTTGAAAAAAATGCATTTATAAGGGTGCTTTACATATGTAACCATATTACCCTGATATTTAAAGACTGTGCAACTAAGATATAGATCACTGACAATATGAAGCTTATGTATCCTCTTGAGTCCTTAGAACAAGTGAAAAAATAGGTCATTTCAAATGTACTCATGGTCAAATACATTAGAAGGACCCATCGGTCGCTGCAAGTAAGGAATACATAGTACATTCCTAAGTGGCTTCAATACCTACTGACGGTTAAAATAGATAACCTGGCACCTTGACAAAGCATACATTGCACTGATCAAGGCACTCTACTTGAACTCATGCAGCTAGCCAGGTGAACTTATGGCGGGTTGTCCCATGAGGTGGTGACAACTAGTGGTGTCAGCGACCACTTCACTTATTTAGGAATTTGCATCAGCCAACGCCAATTGGTTGATTGCTGACGAAAACTCAGCACGGATACAGAAGGCTCGTTGAGCATATGCCAGTTTACACCGTCTCTGGCTTAGTAGACGTGATATCCGGATATCGACCAAAGGGCGGGTGTACTGCTCAGCAGTTAGCTCCGTCCTCTATGGTTGGTTGTGAGACCTGGTCATTGTGTGGAAGACATGAAAAGACTAGCTGTCGTTGATCTCCGACGAAATTTCAGCACGAATTCAGAGGGCTAGGTTCGCATTCGCCAGTTTTCGGCGTCTCTGGCGTAGACGCGATATCCGACTATCGACCAAAGGGCGTGTGTACTGCTCAACAGTCCGCTCCGTCCTCCTTTATGGCTGTGAGACCTGGCCATTGAGAGCAGAAGACATGAAAAGATTAGCTGTCTTCGATCATAGGTGTCTGCGTTCTATCTCCCGCGTGAAGTGGTATAATAAGGTGAGCAATATTGAGGTTAGGCGTCGAGTGCTAGGTAAGGCGGGGAAATCAATCGACGAGACTGTGAAATTACTTCGACTGAGATGGTTAGGACATGTGCTACGTATGCCTAGTCATCGCCTTCCTCGACGGGCAATGTTAGCTGATATAAGGTCAGGCTGGGAAAGAGCTAGCGGTGGTCAAATGAAAACATGGCACCAGTCAATGAAATCCACAACAGTTAATCTAAGCCACGTAGGAAGATGTAGACTTCCTGGTTGGGGCCCTCGGGATGGTAAAAACCAATGGTTGGAAACAATTGGTGACATGGCTCAAAATCGTTCTCAGTGGCGCAGATGCATCCACTCCTTGTGACTTATGATTTCCAATTAAACTTTTGTTCTCCGTTATTACTATTCCTTTGTCTCACACCACTGTTTACTGTCTATATTATGCATTTCTTCTACTTCCTTCTCTTGCTTTGTGTGGTACATGGAGGGAGTGTGGCGACTTGAACTGCCGCACATATGTGCAAAGTTCTATGTCGAAAACCGACCGACCGTCAGTCGAGTGTTAGGTAAGGAGAGAGAATCAATCGACAAGGTGGTGAAGCTACATCGACTGTGATGGTTAGTACATGCCTCACGCATGCCACCGCCTTCCTCGTCAATGGGCAATGTTAGCTGACATAGGGTCAGGTTGAAAAAGAGTAAGCTAGTGGCGGTCAAATCGAAACATGGCTTCATCAGTCACATAAAATCCACCAGTTAGTTTGAGCCAGCCACGTAGGGAGGTGTAGACTTCCTGGTTGGGGTCATCGGGACGTAAACACCGATGGCTGGAGACAATTGGTGATATGGCTCAAAGTTGTTCTCAATGGCTGGTGCAGGTGCGTACACTCCTTGCGACTAATATCTAATGAAACTATATTGTTCTTTGGTATTACTATTCTTTTTGCCTTATACCTCGGTTTACTGACTCTATTTTGCATTTCTATTTACTTTTTTTCTCCTGTTTTGTTTGATACATGGTGTGACGACTCGAACTGCTGCACATCGGTGCAAAGTTCAATGTTGAAACCAATACTAGATAATAACAAGAAAGACGTGAATAACTGCATCTTATAAAAGATTCGCCATACCAAAAATTTGCAACATACTGTACAGAATGATCATATGAAATACTTACCTGATATATTATCCTGAACAATCTTGACCTCTTCAATATCACCATATTTTTTCATGGCATCGTATAAATCTCTTTCTTCAGTACGCATAGACAATCCGAAGGCACCAAGAATGCGAGATGGCTTGGGAGGAGATGCATCACCTCGAACATCCATTTTACTACGCTTTCTGGCGACAGGGCTAGCGTCTGCATAACGGTCGTACCGTGAATCCGAGCGATATTTCACTGGATTATCTTTACTTCGGGGAATTCGTCTGTTAGGAGAAATGTACTCGTTATCTGGACTGTAATAGTCATACTCTCGATCTTTTACATCATTTTCGAAGGATGTTTGTGGAGCATCTCGGTAGCGTTTTCTTGAGCCTGAATTTTCATATCTAAAATATATTGGAAACAACTTGATCACTTAGACACTGTAACTGAATATGTACATAGGTGCGCAATAGATATGCAACCAACAGGTAATTCATCTTGATCAGAAACGCTACAGACTACTGACTCATATATCTTATGAAAACTAATGTTCCCAATGAAACAAGATCACAAGATTTAAGAATAATGGCAGTTCCCTTTCCCTGCTAGGTAATGTGGCTCATTGGTTTTAGCATTCAATTTCCGTATAGTAGACCTCGGGTTAGAATCTCACCTCATCAAATTCAGCTTGAGTGGCTAAGCTGGTTTAATTAATCTTCACACAATGTGGCTCATAGCCTGATACAAATAATCTGCTTCGGGTAGCTGTGTTTTAACCAAGAACTTCAATAAAATGCGTTCTTATCTACTTAACTATTTGTCACCTTCATCCTAGTATGGTAATCAGTTGTGAATCTCGCCACGCGTCTCAAGTACTCGGTTACCAACCCATAAAGTTCACTTCGTTCTACGTGTCCACGGTCAGTAAACCATCATAGGTATGTACTGAGGCTTAAAAAGTGATCATGCAAGTATTACCTAATAGCTTTTAATACATAGTTGTCCATAAGGATATGTAAAAAGAAAAGACCAAACGAGCAAATTGCACTTGAGTTCCCTAGGTTTAAATGAGCAGATTAACAGGTGCATTGGTGTGTTACAAATGAATATTGAAAGTCAGATCGCAGCCTTAACATTTATATTTATGGAAGAGTGCAGAGGCAGTGTAAATTAGCTGACAAAAGTGATTTTGAATTATAAAAATCTGGTTAAAATTGTGCTGGACTCTACAGGCAGATTTAGATATGTGAATTTCAAGACGAATTATTCTGTTTAAACCAGTCTGTCAGTCAAATCGAAAAATATGCACTCTAATAAGTGGTGCATTAAATGCAAGTAATTATGATTCATATAGTGCACCAAAAAGTTTTGGACAAACTCAAGTGGACTGAAGGATACAATAGTATCATATAATCCATTTGCTCTGAGGATCGGGAGAAAGCTAATCAACCACTAACGCTTAATATCCTTATAAGTACATCAGCCTTATTACATTCGACATTTCCACAAAAATATATAGTATGAATGCTCTGCTTGTAGGCACAATAACGAGGACATATCAAAAGTAATATGGACTAAAGGAAAAATACTTACGGATGCTCAACGTGTCGAGAACCATTGCGATAATCTCGTCCACTTTCTCGGTTGGAGTAGGGCATGTCGTAAGCCATTCAAACTCTCAGCTTGTAAAGAGACCTTAATTGATGATGAAAGGGAGAAAATTACTCAACTAGGAAGGCACATTACCAATTAGAAGACATCAAATTGACTGTGACTAGAATTTTGGGGAAACTCATTTCAACAGGGTGATGAAATATAACTGGAGAATTCTAGCTGACTAACACAACATAGGCACATGCAGCAAAAATAAAACCGTAACCATATTCTATGCAACATTTCACAGTTCGTGCTCCATATCCCATGAGCGGTGAGTTGTAACTGTATACGTTTTGACAGATTTTGTCATGTGAATCTTGACGTCAAATGCAGGGTGCGATTACGAGAGGATGGAATGCATACGTCATAACAGATATTAGTTCACTCTACACAGGAACACACCTCTTGACAATGATGAAAGGCTTTCCAAGAATGTGTATTTTTTAGTTCGCTTCCACAGGTGTCTAGGAGAGACACTTCTTTTCAGGGAAGTTTCAAAACAAAAGCTTTGAAACGCCAAAAGCAGACTGCACCCTGGTAAGATAAACGGATTGATAGGGGCAGTTTCCAACGTAACACAGTACCTCACAAGATACGTCAAGCAAATATGTGTTATTAGTTAGATATTTTACTGCTGCTTCATTTGTTAACCATGCAATATCTTTAAACCTAACGTGAAGGAGCAACATAACCGTGTGAACGAACATATATTCATTCGACTGAAATTCGCTAGACTTCAGTTCAGCTTTAGTTTTGCTGTCAAGGTGAGAGTAACAAGTAAATTCTCCCCGCAAATTATTACTGCTAGGTAACGCGGTGAACATGTGACTGGAAAACTACTGGCAAGCCTTTTGAGAAAGTTTCGCACTAGATAGTTTAGTGAGTAGTTTTCAAACTTTAGCTGCTTGTTTGTATGACTTTGATTTCAAACTTCTTCAGTGGGAAACTGAAATAAAGTTCTGAAACCAGTTATCTGTTTGCCTGGTAGGAATAACATACAGCACGCATCGTGGTAACATTCTCAGGCTCCTAACAATAGTAAAACAGACTAATGTTGAGCCATAGCAAAGGCTTCCATATAGCAACGTATTTCATGAAACCACAACAAAGCAACGAACATACACATCAACTCCTCGCACCCAGTCTTTAAATTTGATTACCAGACATTGCAACCGGTTTACTAACATTTCAAAATGTTCCATGAATGTTTAAACATGCTACGATTCAGTTGACGTAAAGGTGTCATGTAAAAATGTCAGTTAACAAGTGAATAAAGAAGAACATGATCGCAGTTCGTCTTATAGACTGTGAAACAAGATACAACTCACCTCTAATAGACCTTAACTGCACGAAGGAACGAGTATCGCGGGCAACCACAAACCGATATTACTGAAACACTTGTACAATATTCAATGTACGAATCATTGTTACGAGTTAATGTGAACTAGTGACTTTTACTCTCAGGAATTAAGGGCAGAGAAGATTTCTGTATCTCAAGTTAGTCCTTTAGTGTTGATTTCGCCCCCCACCTGCTACACCTCTGGTAAACCACCACTGAAAAATCAGTTAAATGTGAAGTAAATGTACTGTTGGTGTTACTGATGTAAATTAGCCGTGCTTCGTGTGGGTCATTCTAGTAACAAGTTAAATGGTTTAATGAGCGCATTAAAACTAGGGGTAGGTAGGGAGGATATTGAGAATGAACAGTAGTAATTGGAATAAGTGGTTGGTGATGAATGTACCTACGCAACAAATCAAAATTGCAACGCTCTATATCTACTTAAGAATTACGTCAAATCCGTGTGAATGCCAAAAATAATGAAAACGAGGGCGGAGATGTGGGAGAAAAATTTTTGCTCTCCTCTGCTTTCATTGGATCCCACTATTCATAATCACTGGTTTCGCTTTGTATCTTTAGATTGTTCTATGACTTCTTTGGAAGTGCATTTCGTAGGAGATTTCTTTAGTTTCTACGTGTAGAACTTGAGTTACAGTTTATATTCAGTTTCTCTAAAGGCTTCCAACTGAATTTTACGGTTTCCTGTGCGAGATTGTGGCTTGAGTCTGAATTTCCATCAGAGACAATGCATCTCATTTTCTTTAGTTCTTGTTATTCTAATCATTCAATTATATCCGTAGCTTCCGAATGTACTTGCGCACATTTTTAATTGGTTTGTAGCCTATCGTGGAACCAAAGAAAAATACCGTGGTGGCTTGTTTTTTTTCTTCAGACATAACATCACTGAGTCGCATAGTGTACTGGAAACAGTTGTGTTACTTGAAACTCCTGAAGTGTAAATATTGTGCGATAAATTACGCTGAAAACTGTACATATTGTGTCAATTTATTGCGCATAATAAAGCTGGTATTATTATCATTATCTACACCTGTTCTCAATTGTGTTCAGCAAGATGCGTCTTCATCTTCAACTCGAGATGCAGCCTATCTGGTCTTTATTGTGCCCATCTAGTGAAACACTTGAGGGCTAGCAAGTGACATCACTAGACAAGCCCTCGAGTGGAACCCGAAAGGGAAGCGACGAGTTGGTCGTCAGTGCAAGGGTGACCTGGAGGAGATCATGTGAAGAAGAATTGAAAGCGTATGGGCAGACTTGGGGCCGGGTGAAAACTCTAGCAGAGAACCGAACGCAATGGAGACGCATGGCTGAAGCCCTATGTTCCTCTAGGAACTAAAGGAAATAATAATAATAAGTGAAACACATCGTGAGTTATATTCCTCTGTGCAGCATTTGTTTTACACATCAAAATTTCGATGTCACCATTTAAGGTCGTGTCCATTACTGTCTGCACCTGTCTATGGAAATAACCCCTATCTACTGGGGGTAACTATTGGGGCGCAGCACTGTTTAACTGCAAATTCTCTTTCTTTTTGAATTGAGTCTTGCCGTCGTTATCCTGAGGGAGATTGTTTCCACTGCACGGAACACTTTCACTGATGTTGGTGACATTATGATGGCTACGCTGTCAGTGTAGTCGTGGTTGTTTTCCGGGTGACTACAGTAGCTCTTCAATTTCGAAATTCGGTTTCCATTCTCCTCCTCTTATGGATTCCCAACATTTCTGTGCCATATGTTCTCAATTCTCTAGCCATTTGAATGGTGTTGCCAGCCTCAAACATCATGCAGACATTCAAAATCACTGAGCATACTTCCATTTCCAGTTGATGGAAACATATGGGTCGACTGAGTTCACGAAATTTCTCACTAATCGGTGCCTGTGTTTTGAATTTATTGTGATGCGGACGTGCCCTCCCAAGAACAACCCTATCTGTTCTCTGGTCTTTGGCCAGTGTAATGGAAGTAATTTTAGCCTTAACCACTTTATTCATTGGAAGGAGTTCTGCTTTGGTCATTTCGGTCATACTGAAGGTAGGCTATATGCTTTTTGCCCTAATTCGTTGATGATTAATTTGGTAAGGCTAGATTTTCAGTCATATGTATTACTGATGCTATTGCACAAAAGACAAAAGTTTGGTAAAGACTTTCAGCAGACTAGTTAGTTGGCTTCATTTTAGGGACTAAACAAGATATGATTTTACATGAGGTCACTACACCTTTGAATAACGGACAGGTGGCGCTGTGCTTCTTCCAGGTTGTAATTACTAAGGACAACTAACCACAGCAAGACTTGGAGCTGTGAGAAGGTTAACTTCTTACTCATATCACTGATCTGTTCTTGCTGTTGAATGCAACCTTGGGGTAGCCGGGATACATCTGCCTGCATAGGGAAAACTCGCAAGACTGCCAAGCCGGGCACTTAAGCTACTGAATCGCTCTATCACCAGTACACTAACAAGAAGTTCTGGGAAGCGATTTTAATGCATTATGTATAGTATCCGAAATCGCCAATGCAGTAGTTGACTTGATCATGACAGTTCACTGCATTCAACAATCATCAGTATCCTATACACACGCTGTCAAACGCTAATATTATACCCTGTATACTATTTTCCACCCTTTATGTGATTTGTGCAAACTTTTTATTCATTTCGAACTTTGTTGTAGGGGATGGACGAACCTTGTCGATTCAATTAAATCACACAGTCAGATAGACCAGGCTAAAGAGTCAGCATGTAATGCTGCTGAGGCTCAATTGCAGCCGGATAGATGGTCACGTAACAATCCTGAGAGTTTCTTCTAGTTGGAGCCAACCGGAAAATTTCTGGAATTCCTCCAAGCAGCATGACTAAATAGTTTTCTAGATGACTACTTGTTTGAATTTACACCTCCATGAGCCACCGGCCATTTCGTACATCGATTACGTTCCCAGTGTTTGGACGTCAGATGACCACAAAATTTAAGATTAGCAATATAATTGCCAGAGGCGTATTGTGAAAAGAACAAATTTCGCAGTCTCCCCAACATTTTGGTCTTTAGTCTATTCGGAACAACGCCATTTGGTTTGTCCCCTCCGCTGAAATTTGCAGGTTCATGTTATCCTCGCAGTGGCTACAACAGGATGATTTGATCAAGATAACCAAGTTCATTCAACAATCACCAGTTCCACTAACATGAACATTCAAACACTGCATGTGCTGTAACAATAATAACTTGTTACTAGCTTATTGTAACCATAATTATATTGATGTGAATGAAAAACGTTTTTGTTGATATTTGGTACGCTGATGAAGCGTCACATGGCAGAAATATTCGCTGGCTTTTCAAATTATGCGTAGGTGAAACGGCTCAAAGATCGGTATGGTCATTTTGGTTGTTAAATTTCCAGGCATTACACAAGCCTTCTGGTAATTTATTTCTAATCAACACTATTTCTATCAACTAAAGACGTCGGTGTAGCGTGATTTTGTCTCATAAATGTTCCATATTGTAAAAACTCTTTACATGATCGGGCAGTGTTTAATAAGCTATCATCGCCTTCTTAAGTGAACACGTACTCGAAATGCTTAGTTCAAACACTGTTAAGATAGAAATTAACCACTTACTCTATGACCGATCCAGATCTAATGGCATAATAGCAGCTGACTGCAAGCTTTGATTTGATTGTTCATATCAAGACGGCAAATTAAAGAGGCTTCTTGGTGAGGGGCAAGATCGTCTGCGCTTCTGTATCAGTCTCAACTTGAACAAGACATTGACGGGTCAACATGCTGCAATATGTTGTGTGCGCACTAGTCGTATTAGATTTGTTTTAGTCAAATTGTACATGGTTATCAACAACAATGCAATGAGAGGTAGCCTTTAAGGAAGACTAGACCATTGCGATAAGTCACGCAGACTTTGTTCTTTTACCAGCAGAACAGTAAAGTTCTCTTTTGTTCCCATGGTGATTTTTGATGAATTGTTTGGACGAGCGATCTGAAAGTGGACAATATAAAATTTCCCCTGCTGGCAGGCAACGTAATGTCATTTTTCGTGGACTCTGAATACCCAAATCAGTTATTGTGTACTGTACGCTGTCTTTAGTGCGTACTTCCGGGTCTCACCCTTTGACTCGGCAAGTCAGGAAATCAATGAGAATATTTGTGCGGTCCAATTTTAATCTGTGCAAAAGTTGGAGGCTGAAATATATGGTACGTCTGTTGCTGCTATATTTTGATTGAACTAGCGTATACACATATCCTAATACTTCCTCGCATTTATATTTGTGCCCTAACGTTGCGATTACTCGACATCCGCAACGTAATTCAAAAGGCACTTGCGAAGGAATACGATAGTGTATTGTTGCAGCAATCAACAATTCAAAAATCGAGCGAGTACAAAAGTATCAATTGTTAACATGCAAGATTTAGAGTAATAAATAAATGAAAGTACAATTACACAATGAAAGTATAGTACGATTATGAGTAATAAAACGGGTCACTACAATAGCCCCTCCGTAGAATACAGGTAAATGAAGTTTACCTGTATTCGGAATGATATTGTAAATTACAATGACACAAAAGAAATATGAAAACCGAATTGAGGCTTTTTAGTTTTCTGAAGTTCGATTATAACTGTATATATTCGAAAATGTTAACAACTTTGAAACGAACTAAAATTTTTAGAAAGTTGTGCAAAATGTAACAATAAAACCAGAAAAATTATTATTAGAATAATAATGAGGTTGTTATTGTAAAGAGTTACATATTAGATTTATATCTTAACATACAGTTAATAGTATAGTAATAAGGAAGTATGGAAATGACTTGGGTAAACATTCAGTTACCTCTATTTCCATGAAAGCTTGTTGTACAAGTGGAATTGTACAAGAAGAGATGGCTGTGTCAGAGAAGAATGCAGCATTAGCTGCTGCTGCTGATACGGTTGAAAGTGAACGTCCGTCAGCATGTTGTTGTTGTTGCTGGCTGTTGTTACTCGGCGTTGAGGAGTAACTTGAATTGATGTTTGCTGCGGTTGGAGAGTAGAAGTTG